TTTAATCTAGAAAAGAATGTACTCAACATTGCCTATAAGGAATTTAGGAGGAAGTGGTGATTATTTTAATAATATTCATAATTCAGTTTCAATAGATGGTACAAATTTACCAGGGGATGCTTGTTTAGTATTAACAACTGATCCTAAGCCTCGTCTTAGGTGGACTACTGAACTCCATGAACGCTTTGTTGATGCTGTTACTCAACTTGGTGGCCCTGATAGTAAGTCACTCATTTTCCTCTTCTTCTCTTTTTTTCCTTCTGATTTATCTGCATTTTCTTTTTCTTTTTTAAGGGGAAATAGGAAAAAATTATCTTAATTTTACTGTGTTAGAAATGTAAGTTTTATCGTAACTGTTAAATTTGATGTATGTTTGAGCGGTGAAAACAGACTCAGGTAAAGCTGCGTACAAGTAGACCCTTCTGGTCCGGTACTTTCTCGGACCCAGTGCATAGCGGAACAGACTTAGTGCAACGGACTGCTTTTCTTTTTTACTCTCTATTAGAAAATCTGGTATGTGTCCTGAGGTACATCTGGAGGGGAAACTTGAAGCAATGATAAAATTGTTTCCTTAGGTCACGAGTTCTAGCCGCAAAAGTAGCCACTATTGCTTGAACATGTAGGTTATCTATACCTTTGGGTGTGGCTCTTCGGACCGCATGAAGTGGGATGCCTCATGTACCGAGCTGTGTTTTTGTCCTGAGCTACAACCTGAAATATAGTGGAGGGTAATTTTAAACCTTAGAGAAAAAAAGTAAGGGTAAATTTGGACTAGATTTTCTTTTTTGAAGTATTTTGACACATGGAAGTATCTTAACTTTGTTTTATTAATCTGCATTTTCTTTTAAGACGGAGAAGGGTAAAAAAAATACCAAAATATCTTAGTTTCCGTTTGGACATTGATCAGTTGTTGGAAAAAATTTGAAGAAAATTTTCGAAGTTTCAAAAATTTGTTTGGCCCAGTTTTTGGGTTGATAATTTTTGTTCCACTCAGAAAACTTCAACTTTTTTAAGTAAAAATACATGTTCAAACACAACTTCTAACTTCCAAAAACTGTTTTTCGACACAACTTCAATTTTTTTTAAAGTTTCAACCAAATTTATGTCCAAACGCCTATTTAAGTTTACCATCAATTATACTTTGGGCTGTTGCCATATTTATTCTTAGCAAATTGTTTGGCAATTTGGGTTGTTGACAGTATGTCTCGACACTGAGAATGGTAATTTTTTTCCAGGAATATAATAATTTATTTTTATGTGTCGTATCTTTTTGAATTTATTGGGTACTTTATGCATTTATGTGCTGTACATGATTTCTGCAGTACCAGTGGATGTAACTGTTCATGGTCATAATCTGTGTGTATAATTATTTTGGTTCTTTGTAAAGTTTGAAACTTCCTTTTAGGCAAAAATATATACCATTTTCCTGAATAGTGTGTATGTATTTCTTTTTTGAATTTATCGGAGCAATATGTGAATCTAATGCTGTACATTAGGCTTCAGTAGTTGTTTCCTTTTTCATGGTCATAATTTTTATATATTATGTAGTTGTTCTTTATAAAGTTTTGGTGTTTTCTTTTCTTCTAGACATTTTTGGACTAGTAAAAGCAAGCCATTTGATTTTCTGCTCTTTCCTTTTTTTTTCGGCTTAACAAAAAAAGAAAGGGTCATAGTCCAATTATATTATTTTAAGGAACTTTTGTTTTTTTATTAAGTGTATTCTTTTTCTTTTTCCTTATCAAAAGTGCATTCTTTTTCCTGTCACAAAGCTTTTATATTCTTAATTACCTAATTATTAAGAAGTATCATGATTATTGTGGGTCATGTTGATAGAGATGTATGTATGTAGCTTTTGACCCTCTCACTTGGGAAAAGTAGAAACTAGGCAATTAGGGAATATGTTTATATGATGGCCTCTACTTATTTTCTTGTGAAAAGGTTAACATAATGACCTCTACTTATTTTTTATGAAAAGGTCAATATAATGGCCTCTATGCCTATATTTTTGTATTTTTTCTATAGTGCTATTTCCGCCACTGTTAACTTGTATACGATTTCTACCTTCATTAGGTAGGGGTAACGACTGCGCGTATACACTACCGGCCCCAGATCCCACCTGTTGAGAATATATTGGGTCTGTTGTTGTTGTTGTTTACTTGTACAGGATGTAAATTGTATGACATGTAAGCATATCGTCATGAGAAGTAAATGGTGAAGAAACATTTGGTTGTTGCTAATATTTTCTGGAGATAAACTTGCACTTGGTACAATTCAATATTCCGAGGGGATACAGCATCTCTCTGAACCCTGGAGGTGAAAACTTAGTGATATCCTCAGGATAGTTAATGAAGAGGGATAAAAAATTTAGACTTGAAAAGTTGATAAAAACCATGAAGGAGGGAATCTTGAAAGGGTTACTTGGTTAAAAGTCGTTCTCTGTATATTCTTAATCTAGTTCCCCAATCACTACATTTGCCAATCTTTACTTCTCGAGGCTCTTGTTTTGTTATGCCAGTCTGAATTTTCTCTCTTGTCTTCAATAAATCATGTCGGTAACTAGTAAAGTTGCTGTCATGTGACTAGGAGGTTACGAGTTCGAATCGTGGAAATAGCCTCTTGCAGAAATACAGGGTAAGGCTGTGTACAATAGACCCTTGTGGTCCGGCCCTTCCCCGGACCCCACGCATTGCGGGAGTTTTGTGCACCGGGCTGCCCTTTATTATATAGCAAATATGCTTCTTAAGATTGTTAGGCACTAAAGAAGTGACCTCAAAGTTTGATGTTCGATGTGAAAATGAATTAGCAAGTTTAAGCACGCTTGCCTATAGAGGTATACGTTCTTATGTGGGAGATCAAACCTTGTGCGTGTTAGTAGGACTGTGTCATTTGGCATATATCAGCCAGTACAAGAATGTTATTCACAGTGTTATTAGGATTCTAGCAGTTCTATAAGTACTTGGTGCACATCCGTGTAGCCATGATACAAAGCAGGAGCTCGTCTTTGCTCCTACAATCGCAACTTGATTGACCTTGTCGCTCTGGTTCCTTTTCGAAGGATTTCACTGTACTATAAATTAGGTTTTCTTTTACTTATTATATAGCTGTATTTTCGTACAGTTTTCTTTTAGTTTTTGCATCTACCTTCTTTGGTAAAATAAGCTCTGAGTTTCTGCTGTCATTTGTTGAACTTCTTCTCTTCTCGACAGGGTTCATGTTTGTCAGTCAGTATATGTGGTAGTAGTATTTCAAATTAGAAATACTATCCTTCTTCTGAGCTGCTCCTTTGAGGAAACATCACTCGTTATGGAAAAAGAAATTAAGAAGAGCCATCCTGACTTCTAAAGTTATGCTAATTTAACTGTCGGAAGGCTCTAAGGGTCAACTAAAAGAATCGTGGTAGATTTGGAATGATGGAACTATTAAATTGATCAATAAATGAAATGTTCCATTTATTAGTATCTCATTGCATCATAATTTTTTTCAATTAGCTGCTTGTATACTGGTAGAATTATGCCGTTGTGATGTTCTGACTGTTAATTTTTTTTTCTAATAGTTGTGGTGTTTCCAGGAAATCTTTCTATCTGCAAATTTTAAGAAATATTTTCTCATTTCATTTGTGTGTTGCCTTCTATTTACAGTTTACATGTACTCCTATGCATAATTTTAATTATGTGATGGTTGCTTCATTTTGCAGAAGCAACACCAAAAACAATTATGAGAACAATGGGGGTGAAAGGTCTGACCTTATACCATTTGAAGTCACATCTCCAGGTATGTTTTCTGATTGCAATTGTGTTTGAGGTTTTATTGATGAGACGGTATAGTGGGTTTTTTTTAAAAAAAAATTTTATTCGGCATTTGATGTTAGCCAAACGAGGATGAAGTACAATTTGAGTAAGCTCTCAGTTTTATCCAAAGAAGAAGTAAATAAGGTCCTTTAATAAAGGAATCTCAAGTAATTGATTCAGAGAGTTGGATAATCCTAGTAAGATGCCGTTTTTTTTTAAGTTTTCAGGCAGATGCTAAAGTCTGTATCTTTATATTTCCTTTGCAGAAATACCGCCTGGGCAAGCAATCTGCTAAAGAGGCAACCGAGAATTCTAAAGACGGTAATGAAGAACTTTTCATTAAATACGCCAGTTTCCTGCAATTACTTTATTTTATTTTGTTCTGTGTCCTTGTAATTCGCGTTGTTGCTGTTCTTTTTCTCATTTCATTTTCTTGTGCCGAGGGTCTATCGGAAACAACCTCTCTACCCCTCAGGGTAGGGGTAAGGTCTGCGTACACACTACCCTCCCCAAACCCCACTTGTGAGATTATATTGGGTTGTTGTTGTTGTTGTTGTTGTGTTGTCCTTGTAATTCGCCCATGTTTTTTTAAATCTGAATAGTGTATATATAAGTGTAACTTCGAATTCAAGGAAAAGATTAGAGCTGCTGATGAGTTACTTCATCTATGCTAAAACTTAAATGTCAACCCCATTGAGTAACTTCCACATTTCCCATAAATACTACAAATCGACAATCATCACTATTGGTTTAAGGTCAGAATAGCCCCCCCCCCCCCCCCC